CCGTGCCAGGTGCAGGGTCTGCTAGCTGGGTGCTGGCAGGCTTGCACCTGGCACGGGCACCGTAGCCAGCCCGTGCCCCTTTAAGGGGTCCGGGGCCGGGAGGGGGGCATAGAGTTTCCCTGGGGTTGGCCAGAGTGGCCACCAGGGAAACCTGGGGAGGGCTAGCCTCCCACTAGTTCGAACTAAAGGGCTACACAGCCCTTAGTTCGAACTAGCTAGTTCGAACTAGGCGTTAGTCCTCGTAAAATGAGGTTTACCTAGTTCGAACTAAGCGCTCCGCTAGTTCGATTCAAATTCGAACTAGCGGAGCGCTAGTGTAGCGCCTATTAAAGTTAGTTCGAACTAACGTCCATTAGTTCGAACTAACTTTGTAGTGTAGACATACCCTAAGCCTCTCTGTGCTCAGTCCCCCTTTTTAAAAATGGGAATTATAGCACATAGCTAACTCGCAAGGGTGTTGTGAGGTGAAATATATTAAAAACTGAGGTATGTTCACATACTGGTGATAAGGGTTTGTAATACCTTAATCCCACAATTTGTCCTGAAACTTTTCCTAGTGTCAAAAACAACATAGCAGTTGTATTTGCAAATCCACGGTACTTCTTGGGTGAAATTTCTCCTAAGTATTGACTATGTACATTCAGACATATACCTTGAATGGGGAGAAGAAATGGGAAAGTTGTATGTTTAGAAAGAAAAATGATCTTTTTTTTTTCTAATCACATTCTGCCAAACTGTGGCACTCTCCTTGTTTGCATGTTTTCTTATGGAACATTTACAGAAAGTATTCAACAGGCAGATTGCATCTTCTAGAGGAAGACACGTAATCCATCACTACTTCCCAGTACCGACTGTTTTTTCAGCTGAGACCTTGTGGAAGTAGTTTGTGATTTGCTCTATTTTATTACTCAGGCCCGAACTCACCCTCCTCCCCTCCCCCGTCCTTCATGGTCTGCCATGGGGCCAATTCTGGACAGTTTGGGAAAGGCAGGGCCTGCCTCAGCCTCTTTCCCACCAGTCCCTCCCCCAGCTCACAACCCCCTTTCTCCCCCGCCACACACACATAGTGATTCCTGAGTATGGGTCTATTATTGCACAATCCTGCTCCAGCTGGCTTAATATGGAGGAGGACTCTGCTTGAGCTATACCGTCCTATAGATGTGCGCAGCCTGCTTCCTCTGACGCTGGGTGTGGCATGGCCCCCTCCTCCTCCACCAGTCCCTCCCCCAGCTCACAACCCCCTTTCTCCCCCGCCACACACACATAGTGATTCCTGAGTATGGGTCTATTATTGCACAATCCTGCTCCAGCTGGCTTAATATGGAGGAGGACTCTGCTTGAGCTATACCGTCCTATAGATGTGCGCAGCCTGCTTCCTCTGACGCTGGGTGTGGCATGGCCCCCTCCTCCTCCCTGGCCCTTCCTGGGCTCCTTGCGGAGCTCTGAGAGTGGTCCCTGTGCTCTCCTGCGCGCCGAGCTTGTGTGCATACAATAGAGTAAGATCCTACCTGCACTGATGCCGTAGAGGAAGCGTCCAATCAGAATCATCTCAAAAGACTGGACTGTCCTACTGAAGCCCACATGCAAGGCAGCCAATGGCCCCCTCCTCCTCCCTGGCCCTTCCTGGGCTCCTTGCGGAGCTCTGAGAGTGGTCCCTGTGCTCTCCTGCGCGCCGAGCTTGTGTGCATACAATAGAGTAAGATCCTACCTGCACTGATGCCGTAGAGGAAGCGTCCAATCAGAATCATCTCAAAAGACTGGACTGTCCTACTGAAGCCCACATGCAAGGCAGCCAC